TTTTGGTTGTTTCGTTTCGTTTCGTTAACGAAACGATTTTTAAAAAATTTTGTTTCGTTTCGTTTCGTCAGAAAAAAATTTTGAGTTTCGCCCAGGTCTGCCTGGGACGAGTAATTGAATAGAATAATTGGACTTGGAGCTTAAGAAATACTTGCTAACATCTCTTAAAAATTTTTTGATTTTTAATTTATAAAAATATTTTTTAATTAAAAAAAATTAATTTAAAGAATTTGTCATTGATCAATTAATAAATAAAATATAAATTTTTAATTGGCTAAAAAAAGATAAGAAAATATAAAAATTTATTTGTTTATGTTCCTCTTCCTGATAATACATAATTACTTTTTTGTAGTTTATCATTCCTTTAAATTAATTTTTTTAGTAGCTACTAACTGATTATCTAAGTATTTTTTAATTTTTATAGTCTCTCTCCTCTACTTGATTGATAAAATTACAATAAGTAATTTTTTAGATAAGCTTTTTTGGGCACAAAGAAATTATAGTTTTTTTAAGGAAATATTTTTCTTTATAATACTTTTAAAAATAAAAAAACGAATGATTAACAGCTGAATATTTTTAAATATTCAAATGAATTCTTTTAAAAATTCATTTTTTTGATAATTTTAGCTAAGTTGTTTTAGAGAGAGTTTTTAAGCTAGTTTGTGAAAAGAAACTTTCTAATTTAGTGGCTTCATCCGGATTTATTTGTTAAGGGTTATTTGCAGGGTCGGGGTTCGAGTCATTTTTTCGGGCCTCATTTTTACCAGACCGGCCCGACCGAATCTTTTCCGGGCCAAAATTCAATGCCCAACTCGATCATGATCAGACCGAGTAAATGATCCATTCCAATCTATAATTTTGAAATTTTCATATCCTGCAAAATTAATTTTCTACACATTTTTTTCTCTTTTTCTATTTTAATATTTTATTTGAAAATTTATTATTTTTATTTTTAAGCCCACAATTTCTCTCTAATGGATATTTATTTTTATTTATTCAAAAAGAAGGCAAAAATATGTAGCTGGATTGCGTGGAATTTTCAACAAAAAATTTTTTCTTAAAGAAGAGGAGGAAAGAAGACGAAGAAGGAAGAAAAGAATAAAAAAAAGAAAAAATTAAATTATTTTTGTTATTTTTACAATGGAATCTTTATAACGACGTTTATTTGGTCAGCATTTCTGTCTCGAAGTCTATTTGACTCTAACAAAGGAGAGTGCCTTAAAGCCCCCTAAATTTTAGGATCCCCCACTGTTTTATTCTCTACATATAAACATTTTCTTTTTATTTACCGTTGTGTTCGTCGGTGGTGCAGTGGTAGCGTTCTTGACTTCGATTTTTTCCCCCAGGTTCGAATCCTGATTGGTGAAATTATTTTTTTAAACATAATTTTCGCTTCTTTTTTTGAAAATTTTGGTTTTAAAAATTTCAACAAATTTTCTAAATTTTTTTCTAAATTTTTTAGAAAGAAAAATTCATTACTCTCCTTTGTAAAACGTCTAAAACAGGGCTCTCATTCGTGCTTTATTTGAAAGTATTATACTTTGAAACCGACCTCCATACTTAAGAAATTGAATTTATACTTTATTGAAAGTATATACTTTAAAATCAACATTTTGGATTGAAAATGAAATTGGGGAAGGGATTGGGCAAAAAAGTGAATTTTTTTAGCCTTGGGCCTTCGAAATTATCAAAATTTTCGCCTGCGGCGCTGAAAAAGAAAGAAATCTGGCTTCTTGGGCTCCAAATTTCAAAAAATTTTCGCCTGCGGCGCTGAAAATGGGAGAAATCTGACTACTTGGGCTCCAAATTTCAAAAAATTTTCGCCTGCGGCGCTGAAAATGGACGAAAGCTTGAGGTTAAGACTGTCAGGGCTTTATTTCTTGTATCAGCGAATTTTGACATGTCATGCGTTGAAATGCACAAAATGCCCAATGGAAGCAAGAAATTATTAGAAAAGATTCATTTAAGAGAGAAATATAAAAGATTTGAGCACGAACAAATATTTTCCAATTTAATTTTGAGTATACTTTAAATTTGGAAATTTTCTCCCTATATACTTTTTTATCAAGATTTTGATACTTTTGAGTGGCATTTTGTCGATGAGAGCCCTGGTCTAAAACAATGTCGGTGTATAGAGACTCCATTTATTGACATTTTTGCTTCCATCGTTTAGTTTAAATTTAATAGAACAATTGACTAGAAGTCCACAAATCGGTTTTAAAACCGCTATATCTTTTAAATATTTATTTCAGAATTCAAAAATATGCGCAATTTGGCATAATGCAAAATATTAAGAATAAATGACACTTCATCCCAAAAATCAATAATCGATTTTTGATGCTTCATTTAGTGTTCTCTATTGCCCATTTACAGCAAAAATGGTCTTCAATCCTTTTTGGGGATTAACTTTTTTGAGGGGTGGGGAGTGATGACTTGCGGACAAGACTTGCTTTGTTTCAATTTTTGAAAAATGTGTTCCATTTTTTCAGCAGCAGCTACAACACTTCAGCAGCAGCAACAACTTCAGCAGCAGCAGCAACAACAGCAGCAGCAACAACTTCAGCAACAGCAGCAACAACAGCAGCAGCAACAACAGCAGCAGCAACAACTTCAGCAACAGCAACAACAAAAGCACCACTGATCTCTTCGGAGATCGCTGGGCAAAAAGCACCAGTGATCTTTTCGGAGATCGCTGGGCAAAAAGCACCAGTGATCTCTTCGGAGATCGCTGGGCAAAAAGCACCAGTGATCTCTTCGGAGATCGCTGGGCAAAAAGCACCAGTGATCTCTTCGGAGATCGCTGGGCAAAAAGCACCAGTGATCTCTTCGGAGATCGCTGGGCAAAAAGCACCAGTGATCTCTTCGGAGATCGCTGGGCAAAAAGCACCAGTGATCTCTTCGGAGATCGCTGGGCAAAAAGCACCAGTGATCTCTTCGGAGATCGCTGGGCAAAAAGCACCAGTGATCTCTTCGGAGATCGCTGGGCAAAAAGCACCAGTGATCTCTTCGGAGATCGCTGGGCAAAAAGCACCAGTGATCTCTTCGGAGATCGCTGGGTTATCTTCACTTTAATGTGCAACGATTAAGTTCCAATGCTCTCGTTTACATGGTTGGCTTTTTTACTTTATTAAAATCGCAAGTTTTGTCCGCAAGGTTTCCCCCTTAAATGAGTATATCCGTTCCCAATGTTAAAGCCAACAAATTCTTGTCAAATGAGAAGACGTACAGCAAATGTCCATTGGTTAGATGCATTGAATTGCTTGTTTTGAATGGTTGATCTTTTGATAGGTTGTTTTTATGTTTAAAGGTTTTTTAATTACTTCATTTTCAGCTTTGATAGAGTATCCAGAAGCTGTAACAATGTTTATAGAGGTTATTTTTGGTTATTTACTATGGGTTCAAGATTATTTTTTAGGGCACAGAATTGTTGCGGGAAGGCCGTCTATTTGATGAGTATGCTTTAGAAGACCAAGAATCAGCAGAAAAAGTGACTGAAGAACTCCCATCTTTTGTTGGAATTCAGCAAATTAGGTTTGAAAATTAATTGGTTTGATTTTCCCCTTTCTATGTTATCGATTGTCAAATCTCCGTCCATTTGCTTACTTTGGGTATTGTGACTGTAGGGGTTTTTTGCTGCCCCACTTGATTTCTACAAATTCTACGTCATTCGAGAAAGCTCATCGAGCTGAGTCTAATGACACAAAAATCATCGCGATCTAACAAGTTTTGACCAAGTTATGATCGTTTGTTTAAGCTCCTTATGGTCAGCTTGGAGGTTTTTGCTACTGCGTGCCGACCGCAGCTAAAATAGGTTTATGATACTAGTCGTGAACCCAGTGACTGTAGATCATAACTTGGTCAAAAAACTAGATTTTATGTTGATTCGATATTTGCGCCCGATTCTATTAATATTTTTAAAAATTTATTCTTATTTTTTAGGGCAGTGAATTGTTGCGGGAAGGCCGTCTATTTGATGAGGATGCTTTGTAGAACAAGAATCAGCAGAAAAATGACTGAAGAACTCCCATCTTTTGTTGGAATTGAGAAAATCAGGTTTAAAAATTAATTGGTTTGATTATTGGGTATTTGTGGGTTATCCCCCGGACTTTTTTCGGACCTTTTTTGCGGACACATTTGTATCTAATGGTAAGAATTTTGGTAATAGTTTGGAATTCGCCCCCCTTTTTTTCACTGTTTCCCTGACCATTTTGAGTTGTTTTGTTTGATACATAATTTATCATATATCTTTCGAAAGAGCTCTTCGAGCTTGGTCGAATGATACCATGATTGGCTAGATCTGATCATTCTTACCAAAATTATGAAGCCAAATCCGAGTTTGGGCAAACTTTTTGTGTCAATACAAGGGGATAAAATAGACTGTCACAACTTTGTTCACTTAAGTCAGTTTTCATTGATTTCAATGTCACTCGACTCAGCTCGAAGAGCTCTTTCGAATGATAAATAATTTGCCATAAAATGAGAAAAAACTAGGAAAAAATATAAAGGAAAACAGGGGGGGGCGAATTCCAAACTATTACCAGAATTTTTTCCTCCCTCTCTCCTATGCACTTGTCAAAATTCCGCAAAAAAGTCCGGAGGATAAACCACAAGTACCCCCCGATGTCATTTCCCGACTCCCGGTTCCCGAGTTTTTTCATTTTCCCGAACATCACTAATTTGGTGTTTCGATACTTGCGCCCGATTCTATTAATATTTTTAAAATCTAGGATCAGTTTGTTCATTTCTTAAATTGATATTCTTTAACTAAAAAATGTTTCTACACATTTTCTCGTTTTTCTATCCCAAATATTTTGTTTTAAAAATTTATTATTTATTTTTAAGCACTCAATTCCTTCTCTCTAATGGATATTTATTCAAAAAAGGCAAAAATATGAGGCTGGATTGCGTGGAATTTTCAACTAAAAATTTTTTCTTAAATGAATCTATTTTGCTGGCAAACATGTAAAGAATTGTTTTTTAATGGCACAAGTATTTGTTAGTTTTCTCAAAAGTTTGTGGGTTTTTGGCTGCTAAAAATGGTAAAAAACTTCAATTTTTTAAACCAGCTAAATTTTTCTTAAAATCAGTTTGGATTTATTCATGAAAGTATACGCCAAATGATGATTAGAATGTTTGGAGAAGAATTTTGGAAGGAAGCAATGTAACTTTTTTAATTAGAAATTTTTTGGAAAATCAAAAAAATTTTTGTCCGCAAAAATATTTGCGGACAAAATTTCCTAATTGCGGCCAAATTTTAAAATTTGCGGGCAGATTATAAAAATTTTTAGGCATAAAGCTGGTTTTGAAAGTGGAAAAGAAAACGTAATAAATCATCATTATCCAGATTCTGATACTTATGCAATTGTTGATAGTGTTAGTAATTTAGCAAGTTTGTTATTTTTTTATTTTTGAATTTAAAAAATTTTTTAAAAATAGAAATTCCAAGAGAAGAAATATGGGAAATGTATGGAGGATTTTTAGTTGAATATACAATGGAGACTGGTTGGGATCAAATGTTGAGAGCTATGAGTCAAAATTTAAAGGTTTTTTTTTTATTTTAGCATTTTTGAGTCCGCAAGAGATTTTTGTCCGCAAATTTTTTTTGAGTCCGCACATTTTTTTGCGGACAACAAATTTGCAGATTAAAAAAAAATTTTTTTTTACATTCTAAAATTTTTTCCAGGGGTTTTTAGACAATTTGGATTCTCTTCATTATTTTATTGATCATGTTAGTGTTTATATTCATGTAAAATTAAATTTTGAATTTGAAGGTTGTTTATAAAGCAAATCTTCGTGGTCCATCTTTTCGTTGTGAAGAAAACTTGGACAAAACAGTTGGAATTTTATTTTATTAATTTTTCAATTTTTTTAAAGATAACTTTGCATTATTTTACAAGTCGTTCAGGTTTATATCCAATTGTTAAAGGTTTTTCTTTTAAATTTTTCTTTAAAAATTTGCGGATTTGAATAATTTAGGTGTGATTAGAGAAGTTGCTCGTCGTGTTTTTACAATGGAAATAAGTATAACTGTTACAGGAAGGACTCAGGTATGAAATAAATATTTAGATTAGGGGTGGGGTTGACCTAAATATATTAAAAACTTTATTTTGGTTTCGCAAGTTTTTTACGGACAAAAAAATTTTTCCGGACAAAACTTGCGGACTTTTCTAAAAATCCTTCCTTCTCCAAAATTTTTTCCTTCTTTTAAGTTTACAAAATGAAAGACTTTTCTAAATCATTTTCCTTTAAAATTTTATTTAAAAAATAGAGAACAGTCCAAATGTCAGCTGGAGAGCGTGTAGAAGAACACGTTACGTTTTTAATAAAATTGGGGCAATCTCGACAAACAAGTCCAACACAACAAAATAATGACTTGAAAGAATTAGAAGAAAATCAACAACAACAACAACATAATAATCGAATCCCCTCAATTACAAATGAAGGAGTTGAAGGAGAACTTTCGGTAAAAGAGAAAATCCGCAAAATTTGTCCGCAAATAAAAAAATTTTTTAAAGGTTTTATTCTCAGCAAATGACCGTTTATTGGAAGAACCTTTAATTCCAAGTCCGTGTCCAACTTGGCAAAGTAGCCAAACAAATACAATTATTGATTCTTTTTCTGATTGGGAATTGCGTATTGGAAAGGCTGATTATGCTGGGCTTCTGCGTTGGTTTTATTAGAACTTTATTTTTTTAATTATGTATATGTTAACTTTTGAATGACTGTTAACTTAGGTTGTGGTGTAGTGGCTATGGCGTCGGTGTGTGATTTTTTTAAGTCGTGGGTTCGAGTCCACTGGGAGTGTATATGGAAGGAATTTATTTTTAAAAAGGGAAGAATTACTTTTTAGACGTCTAAAAATTTTTTAAAATTGAAAAAAAATTTTTCTATAATTCTTTATAGCGTACCATATTGTTGTTGATCGTGATTGTAGACTTGTTCAATTTGGGAAAGCTTTATAGTAAATTAAATTATTTTTTAAATTCAATTTTATGAATTTTCTGCAAGTTTTGTCCGCAAATATAATTTTAATGAAATTTTTTAAATTTTTCTAAAAATTTATTATTTGCGGACAAAACTTGCGGACAATTTTATTTTTTTAATTGGAAAAATTCTTTTCAAAGTAATCATGTAACACCAGAATTATTACAACCGGGCACTCCACTCGTCAGAATTTTTGAAATTTATCGTCCACAAATTCCTTTAGACTTTGAATCTATTTGCAATTTTATTAATGCGGTTTTTGTATTACAAGTTAGAACATCCCCTCTAAGTTTACAACAATCACAACAAGGTGGGGGTAGTCAACAAACAAGTCAACGCTCACCAACAGATTTACCCCCAACTTCTAATGAGGGAGGGTTTGAAGAATTGTCTGTTGCTATGCATGCACAACATTTAAAATTAAAAGGTTTTTATTTTCTTTTTAATTTTTGCGGATTAAAAATTTGCGGACAAAATTTTGCGGATTAAAAATTTGCGGACAGAAAAATGCGGACAAAAAAATTTGCGGATTTTTTAAGAAGGATTTTCAAAAAGTAGCTTTCTTTCCCCTCATTGATAGCTGTAAATTTTATTAAGGACTGGCAATCCTTGATTAGATATACCCTTATTTGTCATTATTTTGAAAGTTTTAATTTTTAATTAATTCTCAAATTTTTAAATTTGTCCGCAAAAGTTATCCGCAAAAAAATTTTTTTAATTTTTTAGGCCAAATGATGATGATGAGTAGTGGAAATGAATTAATGTAAGAAACAAAATTTTTCAAAAAATTAAAAATAATTTGAAAAGGTATTTATGTTCTCCATATGTAACATCAATTCCAGAATTGTTAAAATATGGACTTCGTTTAAGTTCAATACCTTTACATGATGCTACTAGAGATTTAATTTTATTAAATCAACAACGACTTTCTGATGTTGAAGCAAAGTTTTTTTTTAATTTTTTAATGAAAAATTAGAAATTTTTGTGTTTACGGACTGTCCGCAAATATATGCGGATTGTCCGTAAAGAAAAAATTTTTGCGGATTGTCCGCAAAAATTTAAATTTTATTTTTTAAGTCTTCAATTGGAAGCAAACAATGAACAATTGGAACAAATGGCAAGAGATTTGGAAGCTGAAAAGAAAAAGACGGATACTCTTTTGAGAGAAATGTTGCCAGCTTCAGTGGCTACAGGTTTATAATTAAGAAAAATTTTTTTTTTAATCTTTGAAAATTTATTAAGCTTTAATTAATGGATATAGTGTTGATGCACGTTAGTTTTTTATTCTATTTTTCATAAATTTTAGAAATTTTTGAGACTACATATCTGCAAAAAGATACATATTTATATTTTTTGCGGACAATCCGCAATTTTTTGCAGATAGTCCGCAAAACCTGAAAATATTTGTAGATTCTACCAGGGATTGGCAGTCCTTATTTAGAAATGCTCATATTTCCCATTATTTCGAGACTTTAAATTTTCGGACAACCCAAACCTCTAAATTATCCTTCACCTTCATAATCTTAAATTGTCCGCAAATATAGTCCGCAAATTTTTTTTATAATTTAAAGGAGAATACCCAGAAGCAACAGTTCTTTTTTGTGATGTCCCAGCATTCCAATCAATTGTCCCTTTTTGTCAACCAAAAGGAATTGTTAGAATTTTGAATGATTTGTTTACAAAATTTGATAGATTGGTTACTTTACATGATGTAAGAATTTTAAAAAATTTAAAAAAAAATCTGTCAAAAGGTTTACAAAGTCGAAACAGTTGGTGATTCTTATATGACAGTTGGTGGTGTTCCTGAATCTGTTAGTGATCATTGTGAAAGAATATGTCATTTGGCTCTAGGAATGGTTTGATTTTTTAAATTTTTTGCGGACAATCAGCAAATATATTGCGGATTGTCCGCAATATATTTTTCATTCTTGCGGATTGTCCGCAAATATTTTTCATTCTTGCGGATTGTCCGCAAATAATTTTTATTACAGAAATTTTTAAAATTAGATCTGGGAAGCTAGAGGTGTAATGGATCCAGTTTCAAAAAATGGACTTCGAGTTCGTTGTGGTATCCATACAGGAAATATAGTCGCTGGTGTTGTTGGGGTTAAAATGCCTCGGTTGGTTATCTTTAACAATCGAAAAAATCCTTAATTTTTTTAAGTTTTTGTCTTTTTGGAGACACTGTAAATACTGCTGCCAGAATGGAAAGTCATTCACCACGTTTGTTTTTTATTAAAAAATGATAGAGGGGCATTTTTCATATTTGCGGACAATCCGCAAATTTTTTTAATTTTTGCGGATTGTCCGCAAATCTTGATACATTACTAATTTAACTTTTTTAGAAGGCATGGTTCACACAAGCGAGTCTGCTACTCGTTCTGCCCAGAGAACTGGCCGTTTCGAATTTGTTTGTCGTGGACAAGTACCAATTAAAGGCAAAGGATTGATGAGGACATTCTTTTTGTTGCGTTCTTTTAAAAAATCTGTATGGGAAATAATTGACAGAGTTAGAGGTTTGTTAAAAATTAAATATAAGGGACCTCACTATTAGACACCCTCTAATATATTTTAGTTTTAAGGGGATAAAATTTTAAAAAAGTTTATCGACAAAAGAGATCGAACTCATGACCCTTCCTGCCCAAACCTGATACGTTAACCACTTAACCATGGAATAGACAAGGATCCCGAGGGTCTATTTTTGGCCATAACTTTTTTTATTCATAACCAATTTAAGTAATTTTTATACCAATCGAAAGCTCTTGATGTGAGGATTATTTTATTTAACCTGACTGTTTGATCAGATCACTCTACATAAAGTTCTAATCCATAAAAGTAAAAAAAATCACGATTGCGCGTACTTAAGCGGCTGTAACTTTTTGTAGGATGATCTTATTAGAACAATCCTGCTAGACAAAATAATCCGCATATCCAGAGCTTTCGATTGCTATAAAAATAATTTAAAACGGTTAAGGATCAAAAAAGTTATGTTCCAAAGTAGAGGTCTCGAGACTGAAGAAATTTCGATACCTCATTTTTTCAGCCCTTATATAGTGAGTCTATTAGGGCATCTTATAGCGAGGTTTGAGTGTATACTATTTAAAAATTTATATATTCCTTTAAATAAAAGATGAGAATATAAACAGCATTGATGGTTATGAAGAATTAGCATCTGGAATGGATTTGCGTGGCAGCAGTCAATTAAAGACACAAAATAATAGTGGTAGAGGAATGACAAATGCTGATGAAATGGATGGAATAAATACAAAATCTCCCTTGTGTATGGTTACGTAAGAAAATGAATTTTTAAAAAGTAAATGAAGAAAAGATAAGACAAATTTAATATTTTGGAAAAGGATATTTCAGTCTTGAAGCCATATTTTGGGTCATAACTTTCTCGATTCCTGGTCATTCTGAGTAATTATTAATACATAAATTATTATTTTATTTTTAAATAATAAATAAAAAATATTGACCATCAAAAGGGATCGAACTCATGACCCTACCTTCCCAAATCTGACAACGAAACCACTTAACCATGGAATAGAAAAGAAACCGGCGGATCCATTTTTGGCCATAACTTGCTTAGATCTTATCCGATTTGATTAATTTTTATATCAATCGAAAGCTCTGTATGCGTGGATTATTTTAGCTAACAGGATTGATTCGATCAGATCAATCTATAGAAGATTATAGATAAATATTGACGCACAATCGTAATTTTTGATGTTTATTCGGCTCTAACTTTTTGTAGAGTGATCTGACCAGAACAACCTTAATAGATAAAATAATCCTCACATTTAGAGCTTTCGATTTTTATAATAACCATTTATAATGGTCGAGAATTTAAAAAGTTATAGGCATATAAAGATAGAAAATCACGATTTCTTGCACTTATTCGTCTGTAACTTTTTGCAGGATGCTCTAATCAGAACAACCTTAACAGATAAAATAATCCTCAAATACAGAGTTTTCGATTGATATAATAATTATTTAAATCGGTTAAGAATCAAAAAAGTTATGACACAAAATATGGCCTCAAGGTTCGAATATCCCTTAAAATTCAGTAGAAAATTGTTTAAAAATTAATTTTTTAGTAAATATAAAAATTGGATTTTAAATTCTTTTGAAAAAGAAATCAGAAAAACAAAAATATACACAAAACCAAAAATTAATTTTTACAAATTAATTTTACAAATTAATTTTTACAAAATTTTGTATTACTAATTCTCTACGTATTTTAGTACATATTTTAGAAAATACAAAAAAAATTAATTTTAATTTTCTCTTTGTTAATCAGAAAAGACCAAAAATAGGTAAAATTTGCAAAAAAAATTTTTATTTTTCAAAATAAGACTCCCTACCAGACGTGGGCGAAACGTTTCGTTTCGTTTCGTTGTTTCGTATGTTTCGTATGATTTTTACTGTTTCGTCTCGTTTCGTTACGAAACACTTTTAAATTTGTTTCGTTTCGTTTCGTTACGAAACACCTGTGATTTTTCAACGAAACGAAACAATTTTTTAAGCCTAAACTAAGGCCAAAATCTATAAAATTTACCATCTTTTATTGAAAATTTAAAAAATTTTCGCCTGCGGCGCTGAAAAAAAAAGAATTTCGGCTTCTTGGCTTTCCCAAATTGTCAAAATTTTCGCCTGCGGCGCTGAAAAAGGAAGATAGCAATTACTTATATACTACAAATCCGTTTATACTCCACTCCCTAATCCACATATACATATTACTTAATCGACGACAAATTCTATTACCGGACTCGCATCATAATTTAAAAATTGCGGATTGCGAGTTGCGGAAATACTGGAACCGGAACTTCCGGCGAAGCACTAGCTTATATCGCCTTCCTCTCGAAATGGAGATATGGAGACAATTTGGGTAGGCAATGGAGCAAGATGGTGAATTTTTTGGCCTACGGCCTTTCAAAATTTTAAAATTTTTCGTCTGCGGCGCTTAAAATAAAATTTTACTTGAAAAATATTCAATTTTATTTAAAAAAAAGGGCCCTATCCCGAAAGAAGGGTCGAATCGTTTTTTTTCATTACTTTTTATTAGTTTATAAAAATGGTCAATTTTCCTTAGAATTGATGTATGTTGATGTTTGCCTTAAGGAAAAATGGAGAAGGACAGACAATGACAGAAGAACACAGACAGACAAAACAAGGATGGACCAAACACAAACGGACACATGTCCGACCGTTCGTGTCGGTCCTTGTTTTGTCTGTCCGAGTTCGTCCGTGTTTTGTCTGTCCGAGTTCGTCCGTGTTTTGTCTGTCCGAGTTCGTCCGTGTTTTGTCTGTCCGGGTCTGTCCGAGTTCGTCCGTGTTTTGTCTGTCCGAGTTCGTCCGTGTTTTGTCTGTCCGGGTCTGTCCGAGTTCGTCCGTGTTTTGTCTGTCCGTGTCTGTCCGAGTTCGTCCGTGTTTTGTCTGTCTGGGTCCGTCCGTGTCCGTCTATGTTTTGTCTGTCCGGGTCCGTCTGTATTTTGTCTGTTCGTGTTCGTCTGTGTTTTGTCCGTCTTGATCCGTCCGTGTTTTGTGTCTCCGAGTCCGCCCAGCAAACAAAAACAAGGAAAAATATAAAAAGTTAACCTCTGTCACCATTTTTCCTTAAGGCAAACATCAACATACATCAATTCTAAGGAAAAATGACCATTTTTATAAACTAATAAAAAGTAATGAAAAAAACGATTCGACCCTTCTTTCGGGATAGGGTCAAAAAAAGCGTCGCCAAAAATTTGGCTTCGAAAATGATTGACCCCCCCCCCCTTCCCCGAAAATTTTCCTTGCTACGGGCCTGGCTTATGGGACACAATTGTTGTAAATAAACCAATAACTAAATCATTTATAAGTCATAGTCGACTAATAACGTATTTGAGGTCGAATAATTTCGAAATAAATGCAGTTTTGAAAATTTTTTGAATATTAAAATGTTTCGTTTTGTTTCGTTTCGTTTCGTAAGATTTTGGTTGTTTCGTTTCGTTTCGTTAACGAAACGATTTTTAAAAAATTTTGTTTCGTTTCGTTTCGTCAGAAAAAAATTTTGAGTTTCGCCCAGGTCTGCTCCCTACAGAGAGAAAGTTTTTTTGTTTTTAAATAATTGGCCATGCGAAAATAAATTGAATAAAATTAAAAATAGGAACGAACGTTTAAGCAAAATTTTTTAATTTTTTTGATTAGATTAGAATGGGCATTTAAAGGTTGGGGGTAAATTTGGACGTTTATAAGAGGGCGAAGAACGAACAGCAAAAACAACACAAACAACACAATATGTTTTGTTCAAGTTTGTAATTCTGATTAATGGAGAGTGTGTAAATTTTCCTTTTGTAGTATTGTAATTCTGATTTTATTATTTTTTACAACTAGAAAAGGTTGCAATAATTCTGAAAAGGGTGTGTTATTCTGATTTTTGAAAAGGATATAGTTTTAAGTTTGTAATTCTGATTTTTTAAGTTTGTAATTCTGATTTCTCTTTTAAGGCTTGTAATTCTGGTATTATTCTGAAAAGGCTGTAATTCTGATTTTGTAATTCTGGTTTTATTTTCTTCGAAATTCTGATTTTAATTCTGATTTGTTTATATTCACTTGTAAACTTGCTTTATTTCCGGAAAGTTTAGTTTGCAATTTAAAGTTTAATTAATTCTGATTTTTCGAAAAAAGTTTGCAATTCTGATTTTAATTCTGGAAAAGTTCTATTTCTCAACATTTTTACAATTGTAATTTTAATTAGTCAGAAAATGCAAGAGACTAAAGTAGTCTTAGGAATTGCATGCTTAAGCTCATTTTTGGCTGTTTTTGCTACTTTAGTAGTTATACCCCAACTTTATTTACAAATTAATGAAATTAATGTTCGTGTACGTGATGGAGTTCAGGTAAATTTTTGAAGGAATTTTTAGATTTTTGAAGTTTTTAGGCATTCCGAGTCAATACGGATTCTGCTTGGAATGAATTAATGGACTTACAAATAGCTACAACTCCTCTTAGCAAAGCAAAAAGTCAAAGTTTTCAGTCTCTTTTTCGCGTTAAACGTCAATTGCCTGATTACTGTATATGTCAACCTTTACAGCTTACTTGTAAAAAAATAAAATTTTTTAGTTCAAGATTAATTTCATTTTGAAGGTATGCCCGGCCCTGCAGGACCCCCTGGACCTCCCGGTCAAAACGGAAGGCCAGGACAAAGTGGACGCCCAGGGCAGAGAGGCCAACCAGGCTTGCCAGGCAAGTTGACTGATTGAAATTTTAATTTTAAAATTTATTTTGCAGCCTTTCCTTGTCCAGCGCCTCGATATGAGTGTCATCGTTGCCCTGCTGGACCCCCTGGACTTCCTGGAAAGCAAGGGCCACCTGGACATGCTGGAAGGCCTGGTGCTCATGGCCCTCCTGGCAAAAGTGAAAGAAATATTTTAAAGTTTTAAATAAATTGCCAATTTAAGGTAGTGGCGTCGGTCCACCAGGAGCTGTTGGACCTAGAGGACCACCCGGATCTCCAGGAAAACCTGGAGGTATTGGTTCGCGTGGACCTCCTGGAAGATCTGGAGTTATTCGGTGAGACATCTTTGTCTTTGGTCAACACTTAAAATTTCAGTTCAACAGTACCGGGGCCTAAAGGTCCGCCTGGTGCACCGGGATTGCCTGGAAAGCCAGGATCGCCTGGACAAGTAACTTTAAGCGATTATTTTTCTAAAAAATTGTTTTTTACTAGCCCGGCAAGCACGGACCTCAAGGAATGCCTGGAGCTTTGGGACCGCCAGGTGCAATCGGAAAACCTGGTTTTCCTGGAAAACAAGGGCCAAGTGGGGCTCCAGGACAACATGGAGCGGATGCACAGGTAGAGAGGATGGTATAATGAATTTAAAAATAAATTCAAATTTCAGTATTGCCCTTGTCCTCCACGTTCAACTGTCGTCAAAACAAAGAAGCGTCTTTAGAAAAAATTTTTTCATTAATTCTCTTTTAAATCTAAACAAGTTTATGTTCTACAAACATTTTTTGATTTAATAAAAACTTTGTGTCATTAATTGGTTGTAATAATTAACATAAATAATAAACGTTCCCTCTGTACATTCCAATATATTCTAGCCAAACAGGAATTGGTTATTTTATAAAAAAATTTGTGATAGGAAAGGAATTGTATTTTTGAGGCCATTCCTGAAGATCAATTATAGTATTTAAAGCTTTATAAAAATAGTTCAGATGGATGGAATTTGTCGTTTATGAAAGTGATCTTTTGGATTTGACAAATTTTCAAAGTGATTTGATATTATGAAGGTGATCTATAGGGTAAATCACATTCATAAGATGGAATTTGTCGTCTTTGAAGGTGATCTATAGGGTACACCAAATTTTCAAAATGGAATTTGATGTTTTCGCAGTTGATCTTATGGGTTTAGCAAATTTTGGTGATTGGATTTGATGTTTTGATGGTGATCTATAGGGTTTATCAAACTAAATATGGATTTGATTTTCTCGAAGGTGATCTATAGGGTGAAGCAAATTTTCAAAATGAATTTTGATCCTTTGAAGCTTGAATTTGATGTTTTTGAAGGTGATCTATAGGGTTTTGAAGATGATCTGTAGGGTTTGGCAAACTCCATGAAATTTGATTTTCTTGTAGGTGATATATTGGGTAGCAAAACTTTATCGCAATTTTTTGCGCCATTTACTCCGTTAAATGTTCTATCGAAAATTAACTTTTTGCAACGACTACTGATCAAAAATCAAACAAAAAGTAAAACAATTTTTTGCAAGTCCAACCTCTTAAATATCTTTACGAATAAACTGATCGGGCCATTCAGTAAAAGTTAGGAGAACATTGACAAATTTATTCAAAATTAAAAAAATGAACGAAACAAAAGCGATTATTGGAATTGCCTGTTTAAGCTCTCTATTGGCAGTTTTATCAACTCTAATTGTACTCCCTCAACTTTATCTACAAATTAATCAGTTGAGTGATCGAGTTCAGGATGGAGTGCAGGTTAGGGCAGGGGTTTTTTTGAAAAAAATTTTTGAACTCAGGCATTTCGTGTGGACACAGATTCTTCTTGGAATGATCTAATGGAATTACAATTAATTGGAATCCCTCAAAGTAAAGTACGTGGAAATCCTCTAGAGTCGGTTTTTAGAGGAAAGCGTGATTTACCCAGTCATTGTATATGCCAGCCACTTCGTGTAGTTTGTAAGGGATTCTAATCCATAACCGAGCAAATAAAACTCATTTTTAAAGGCCATCCGGGACCCCCCGGCCCACCTGGATTGCCTGGAAGAGACGGCAATGCTGGCCAGGACGGACATAAAGGACAACCTGGAATGCCTGGACAGCAAGGCAAGGAAACGAGGATTTTAATCCAAAATTTTTGTCATTTTCAGCAGCCCCTTGCCCACTACCAAACCAAGCATGTCAACGATGTCCAGCGGGACCTCCAGGTCAAACAGGAAAAGCAGGAGAGGCAGGCCAGCCTGGCCAAGCTGGGAAACCTGGACTACCCGGAAGAAGTAGTGGAAGTGGTCCTCCAGGATTACCGGGTCCACAAGGACCGGTCGGACCCCCAGGAACGCCTGGAAGGGCAGGACATAAAGGACATCCTGGTAGAAATGCTGTTACAAAGTAAGAAGTGTTAAACAAATTTAAAAAAATTTAAATAATTCAGCCCAACAGTTCCTGGACCCAAAGGACAGCAGGGAGCTCCAGGCTTGCCAGGAAAGAATGGACCTGCGGGAGCGGTAAAAAAATTTTAGTCTAAAAGTATTTTTAAATTTTTTGTAGGTCGGAAAGCCCGGCCCAGAAGGTCCCCCTGGACCTGTTGGTCCTGCTGGACAACCCGGAATGGCAGGTCTACAAGGAAAACCGGGAAAACCAGGACCTGCCGGACAGCCTGGTGCTGATGGACAGGTAAAACTAAAAATTTTCTAGGCTCTAAAAATTTTTCTCTTCAGTATTGTCCCTGCCCTCAACGCTCTCCTCCTGCACTTAACAAAACAAAAATGGGTGTTTAAAGAAAAGATTTTTAAAATATTTTTAAATGTTTTTTGAAATTAAATTTTCTTCAATTTGAAACCAATTTGGTGGTAAATTGTTTAAAGTATCAAAAGCAAACGGAAATGTTTTTACTTGTTTGCGAATTGAAAAAATTTTGCGGCCCTTAAAAATTTTCTGATTTTCTAAGAATTTTTGTTAATGTTCTGAAAATTAATTTTCTGATTTCTTTGATCTGTTCTGATTTTTTAAACAAAAATTTTGTCAAAAAAACCCACTTCCGGCAACAAATAAGCCATCCAAAACCCAAAAGTTGAAAACGGCGCGGACAATAATAAAGAATCACAAACTTGATTTGCAAGACACATTTCTTCACCTCGAGATAATTTTAAATCTGATACTCGATAAATGTTGTTAAATAACTGTAAAAAAATTTTAAAAATTAAATAAAATTAGGGAAAGGGACGAGGGAATCTTGGTGGTTTCACACCATCTTTTGTTCCACAACTTTTTTTGTTTTTTGACCATTTTGAATAAAATTTGGTATCATTCGAAAGCTCTAAACAAGGGGAGTCTTTTTCCTAAGGGGATAAATTTGATATGATTCTTCTCTAAAAAGTTAGAGGCAAAAATAGGTCGAAAACCACGATTAGAAAATCTAGATTATCTGGACTTAACAGACTATAACTTTTAAGGGAATTATTGTATCATATCACTCCTTTAATAATAAAAAATCGGCAGATCAAGAGCTTTCGAATGATACAAGACTTGTTTAAAATGGTCGATGCCCAAAAAAGTTGTGGACCAAAATGTGTCTCGGGGACACTATCTATTAAAATCTTAAAAAATTCACCTCATTTTTAAATTTTAAATTCTCAATAAAATTGTTTTGATCTTGACTTGAAAACAAAATTAAAGAAAAATTTAAAACATTTCCAACATTTTCTGAAGCCAATTTATTTGTAATAAAATTAACAGAAGAAACAACTTGTTCGCTTTTTGATTCACCCAATCCAATAAAATCACCAACACGAATATGTACACAAAGTTTGTGTGAAAAATCATCATATATAAAAAAACAAAAATATTTTAATCTCTCGGATTCTCGAATCTCTCGGGCCGAGAGATCTCTCAGAAAATTTTTTTAACGAAGGAAATTGTAATTCATGAGGTCAGGGAGGGGGTCGCGGGTTCGATACCGCTCGGGGAAATTATTTTTAAAATTTACTGAAAAAAAAACAGAAATATACTTTTTGAGCATTCTTACGTTCTTTACAAACGGAAAAATTATTTGTAATAAAATTTAGCTACGGAAAAACTTGAATTTTTCAAAATTTCCCTCAGAAAAGCACTGATTTTTGAGGTCGTGGGTTCGATACCGCTCGTGGAAATTAATTTTTAAATTCATTGAAAAAGGCATTTTATAGCCTTTTAGAAGCGAAAAACAATATTTTAGGTAACCAAAATAATTTTTGCTTTTAAATTATATTTTTAAAAATCAACCTCAATTTTGTGTTATTCCATAATTGTGAAATATTCAAGATTACATCCTCATTGAATTTAAATATCTCCAAAATATCATTTCTCAAATGATCAAAATATTTGTAATTAATAAAATTAGGTCCTCCAATTAATTTAAGTCCTTTGCTTGTTGAATGATTTGTTTGTAATATTCTTTTTAAATTAAAAAAATTAAATTAAATGAATTTAAGGAAAAAACACCGTCCGACAACAAATAAAAGTTTAAAAAGAATAGTGAATTGTAAAAACAAATGTTTTTACAATTTAAACTTAAAAACATGTTTCACACACTCAAAAACTTGTTTTAATAAAAAAAAGTTTATTTAAAAAATAAACTTGTTTTTCTAACAAATTGTAGAACAAGTTTATTTTCTAAGTAAACTTGAAATTCTCATATTTTAATTAAACTTGTTTTACAATTTGTAAAAGTTTCAAGTTTCTAATATTCCAACTTTAAAATAAACCTAAAAAACAAACTTGTATTTTTTACAAATTGTAAAACATGTTTATTTTTCAAGTTTTATTAAATTTTGTGCGGATGGTGAATTACTCCCATAATTATTAAGATAATTAAAAACAAACATTTCAGGATCAACAAAATCACAACAAGATTGAATTAATCTAAACTTCTCAATTTCATCAAAATCTGGCCTCTCAAAAATTTTTAAAATTAAAAAAAATTTAAAAAAAATTACCAAATAATAAATTCTTTTATAGAAATTTGGAAATATTTTTGAAAATTCTTCTTCCATTTTTAACAAAATTGTTTCATTATGTAAATAAACTGGTGTTCGTTTTAATAATTTTCCCATCGCATATAATGAAGCATAACGATATATCTTAAATGAAACAAAAATTTTTTTATTTAAAAAAAATTTAATAATTTTATAAAAATCCATTTTTAATTTTCAAAAAATCCCAGAGCCTCTAAAGGTTTTTAAGAAAATTTTTAAAAATTCTAGGATCTCTAAAAATTTTTCCAATAATTATAAAACATTCAAAAAACAAAAAAAACTTTCTCGAAAATTAAAAAAAACCCCCCAGGGCCTCAGAAAATTTTTAAAAAATTAAAAAAAAAAATTCTAAGATAACAGAAATTTAAAAAATTCTAGGGTTTCTAAAAAATTTTTAAAGTCCAAAATTAATTAATTTACTTGATTCCCCATTTGTCCACACATTACATTTGTAAAAATAAAATTATTAAATTCTGGCACAATTTTTCCATCGGATTCATTAAAGTTAATAAACCATTTGTTCCAATCAGAATTTGACGATTTTAACTGAAATAATTTTTTTTTAATTTTTAAAAATTTTTTCACCTCAAAACTTAAATTTCTTTCAAATCTCAAAACGGGTACCCAATTTTCATTTTTATTAAAAACATAAAAAGAGAATAGTCCAAATAAAAGTAAAATTAAAATCATTAATTAATTTCTAATTTATTTTTAATTTTAAAAATAATTTTAAATGTTTTTAACCTTTTTTCTAGTATATTTTCCACTTTCATCGCAACAAATTATTTAGATTTTCTTCTTCACTTTTTAATATTTTTGAGAGATTCATATCTTCCTTTCTCCTTTTTTAAATTAAGAAATTTTTTCCTTTGATTTTCTCTAAATGCCGAAAATACCAAAAAATTGTAATAAATTAAAAAGAACATAAAGTTCTAAAAAATCCAAAATTAATTTTATTTATTTAATTAAGCATAAAAACTTTTATGTTGCTTTTGTTGTTATTGATGGTGATTTAATAAAAAAAGAAAAAATGCTTAAGTAGACTTTTTATAACCGAAAACGATGAATCACCGTTACACGATGAGTCACCGTTACACGATGAGTCACCGTTACACGATGAATCACCGTTACACGATGAGTCACCGTTACACGATGAATCACCGTTACACGATGAGTCACCGTTACACGATGAATCACCGTTACACGATGAATCACCGTTACACGATGAGTCACCGTTACACGATGAGTCACCGTTACACGATGAATCACCGTTACACGATGAGTCACCGTTACACGATGAGTCACCGTTACACGATGATTCACCGTTACACGATGAATCACCGTTACACGATGAGTCACCGTTACACGATGAGTCACCGTTACACGATGAGTCACCGTTACACGATGATTCACCGTTACACGATGAGTCACCGTTACACGATGAGTCACCGTTACACGATGAGTCACCGTTACACGATGAATCACCGTTACACGATGAGTCACCGTTACACGATGAATCACCGTTACACGATGAGTCACCGTTACACGATGAATCACCGTTACACGATGAATCACCGTTACACGATGAGTCACCGTTACACGATGAGTCACCGTTACACGATGAATCACCGTTACACGATGAGTCACCGTTACACGATGAGTCACCGTTACACGATGATTCACCGTTACACGATGAATCACCGTTACACGATGAGTCACCGTTACACGATGAGTCACCGTTACACGATGAGTCACCGTTACACGATGATTCACCGTTACACGATGAGTCACCGTTACACGATGAGTCACCGTTACACGATGAGTCACCGTTACACGATGAGTCACCGTTACACGATGAGTCACCGTTACACGATGAGTCACCGTTACACGATGAGTCACCGTTACACGATGAATCACCGTTACACGATGAATCACCGTTACACGATGAATCACCATTACACGATGAATCACCGTTACACGATGAATCACCGTTACACGATGAATCACCGTTACACGATGAGTCACCGTTACACGATGAGTCACCGTTACACGATGAGTCACCGTTACACGATGAGTCACCGTTACACGATGAATCACCGTTACACGATGAATCACCGTTACACGATGAATCACCATTACACGATGAATCACCGTTACACGATGAATCACCGTTACACGATGAGTCAACGTTACACGATGAGTCACCGTTACACGATGAGTCACCGTTACACGATGAGTCACCGTTACACGATGAATCACCGTTACACGATGAGTCACCGTTACACGATGAATCACCGTTACACGATGAGTCACCGTTACACGATGAGTCACCGTTACACGATGAGTCACCGTTACACGATGAATCACCGTTACACGATGAATCACCGTTACACGATGAGTCACCGTTACACGATGAGTCACCGTTACACGATGAGTCACCGTTACACGATGAGTCACCGTTACACGATGAATCACCGTTACACGATGAGTCACCGTTACACGATGAGTCACCGTTACACGATGAGTCACCGTTACACGATGAATCACCGTTACACGATGAGTCACCGTTACACGATGAATCACCGTTACACGATGAGTCACCGTTACACGATGAATCACCGTTACACGATGAATCACCGTTACACGATGAGTCACCGTTACACGATGAATCACCGTTACACGATGAGTCACCGTTACACGATGAATCACCGTTACACGATGAGTCACCGTTACACGATGAGTCACCGTTACACGATGAATCACCGTTACACGATGAGTCACCGTTACACGATGAATCACCGTTACACGATGAGTCACCGTTACACGATGAATCACCGTTACACGATGAGTCACCGTTACACGATGAGTCACCGTTACACGATGAGTCACCGTTACACGATGAATCACCGTTACACGATGAATCACCGTTACACGATGAGTCACCGTTACACGATGAGTCACCGTTACACGATGAATCACCGTTACACGATGAATCACCGTTACACGATGAATCACCGTTACACGATGAGTCACCGTTACACGATGAGTCACCGTTACACGATGAATCACCGTTACACGATGAATCACCGTTACACGATGAGTCACCGTTACACGATGAGTCACCGTTACACGATGAGTCACCGTTACACGATGAATCACCGTTACACGATGAATCACCGTTACACGATGAATCACCGTTACACGATGAGTCACCGTTACACGATGAGTCACCGTTACACGATGAATCACCGTTACACGATGAATCACCGTTACACGATGAGTCACCGTTACACGATGAGTCACCGTTACACGATGAGTCACCGTTACACGATGAGTCACCGTTACACGATGAATCACCGTTACACGATGAATCACCGTTACACGATGAGTCACCGTTACACGATGAGTCACCGTTACACGATGAGTCACCGTTACACGATGAATCACCGTTACACGATGAGTCACCGTTACACGATGAGTCACCGTTACACGATGAGTCACCGTTACACGATGAATCACCGTTACACGATGAGTCACCGTTACACGATGAGTCACCGTTACACGATGAGTCACCGTTACACGATGAGTCACCGTTACACGATGAGTCACCGTTACACGATGAGTCACCGTTACACGATGAGTCACCGTTACACGATGAATCACCGTTACACGATGAATCACCGTTACACGATGAGTCACCGTTACACGATGAGTCACCGTTACACGATGAGTCACCGTTACACGATGAATCACCGTTACACGATGAGTCACCGTTACACGATGAGTCACCGTTACACGATGAGTCACCGTTACACGATGAATCACCGTTACACGATGAGTCACCGTTACACGATGAGTCACCGTTACACGATGAGTCACCGTTACACGATGAGTCACCGTTACACGATGAGTCACCGTTACACGATGAGTCACCGTTACACGATGAATCACCGTTACACGATGAGTCACCGTTACACGATGAGTCACCGTTACACGATGAGTCACCGTTACACGATGAGTCACCGTTACACGATGAGTCACCGTTACACGATGAATCACCGTTACACGATGAGTCACCGTTACACGATGAGTCACCGTTACACGATGAGTCACCGTTACACGATGAATCACCGTTACACGATGAATCACCGTTACACGATGAGTCACCGTTACACGATGAGTCACCGTTACACGATGAGTCACCGTTACACGATGAATCACCGTTACACGATGAGTCACCGTTACACGATGAGTCACCGTTACACGATGAATCACCGTTACACGATGAATCACCGTTACACGATGAGTCACCGTTACACGATGAATCACCGTTACACGATGAGTCACCGTTACACGATGAGTCACCGTTACACGATGAGTCACCGTTACACGATGAATCACCGTTACACGATGAGTCACCGTTACACGATGAATCACCGTTACACGATGAATCACCGTTACACGATGAGTCACCGTTACACGATGAGTCACCGTTACACGATGAATCACCGTTACACGATGAGTCACCGTTACACGATGAATCACCGTTACACGATGAGTCACCGTTACACGATGAATCACCGTTACACGATGAGTCACCGTTACACGATGAATCACCGTTACACGATGAGTCACCGTTACACGATGAATCACCGTTACACGATGAGTCACCGTTACACGATGAATCACCGTTACACGATGAGTCACCGTTACACGATGAATCACCGTTACACGATGAGTCACCGTTACACGATGAGTCACCGTTACACGATGAATCACCGTTACACGATGAGTCACCGTTACACGATGAGTCACCGTTACACGATGAGTCACCGTTACACGATGAGTCACCGTTACACGATGAATCACCGTTACACGATGAG